GGAAAAACTAGAGATCAACAGTCATAATGCGATGGTTGTTGATTAAGTAATAATTCGTTTTTAGAAAAAGGATTGATGAACATTTAATTTCAAAATAAGCCAAGTATCAAGTTTACGCAAGTGGACTTCATGATAGGGGCGATTAAGTTACCTTGGGTGAGTAACGAGTGTTGCAGGATGTTCCAACATACATAATCAACATAGCCTGCGGCATCAGATGCAACAAATGAGTGGAAATGAAGGCGTCATGGAATTACCAGCTGTAGTTGTGGCAGTTACGCCTAAGTTGCGAGTATAGAATTCGGGGGGCACCGAAAGTGAATTTTGTGGTCTTCCTGAATGCCTCACTAATGGCCTATGCAGTAATATTTCGAATGTCGCCGATGTAGAATTTCGGATAATTGACTACTTTAATGTGCAGAAGGCTCATGTGGCGGAACAATCAGCCAGCGTCAGGCTACAATAGATGCAGGGAAAATAGCTGGCCTCAACGTGCTGCGTCTCATCAACGAGCCGACTGCAGCTGCCATCGCATACGCCATGGACACGAGGAGCGACAGGCAACGCAATGTTCTCATCTTCGATTGGGGTGGTGCCACCTTCAATGTGTCCATTCTGTCCATCAGAGATGGGAAGTTTGAGGTGAGGGCGGTTGGAGGTGATACGCATCTGGGTGGTGAGGACGTTTATTCTCGACTGCTCGATTACTGTGTGGGCACGTTTAAGCGAAAGTTCGAGGGCAAGTACTTGACTACCGACATGAAGGGCATCGGTTGTCTAAGAAAGGCATATGAAGTGGCAAAGAAGCTGAGTTCTGTTGAGTTTACCAATATGGAAGTAGAATCGTTAATCGAGGGCATCGATTTCAGTGTGACCCTCGCACGAACCCGATTCGAACACTTGTGCTCAGACCTCTTTGATGGGACGATGAATGCTGTGAAGATGGCGCTGGTTGATGCGGAATTGGACAAGGCTGACATCCATGAGATATTATTAGTGGGTGGATGAACACGCATTACGATGGTGGAGAAGATGTTGCAGGACTTCTTCAATGGTAGGGAATGAACAAGGTCCGTCAACCCAGACGAGGTGGTGGCGTACGGCGCTACATTGCTGGCGGCCAATATGACTGGTGACAAGTCGAAGGCTGTGAGGGATTTAATTTTGCTGGAGGTGACACCACTCTCACTGGGCGTGATGAATGCAGATGGCACGATGGCAACGGTGATAAAGCGTAACACACGAATTCCGACAAAGCAGACCTGTGCACGCGTAACTGTCAGTGATAATCAAACACATGTGAGTTTTAAAATTTTTGAGGGCGAACGGACGAAGACGAGTGACAACTACTTCTTGGGCGAGTTTCATTTGACGGGTTTTCCAGCGGTGCGGCGTGGTGAGATTGAGTTTAAGATGCCATTTGAAATTGACGCAAATGGCATTCTCCATGTTTCGGCGGTGGAAAAGTCGACGGAGAAGCAGAAAAGCATCACCATCACCGACTACAAGTGTCGTCTGTCAAAGAGGGAGATAGAACGAAAGCCGTTAGATGCGGAGAAGTTTAAGCAGGATGAAGAGAAGGAGAGGAGTAGGGTGGCGGCCATGAATGTGATGGTGGACTGCATCTACAGCATGGAGAGGAAAATGGAGAAGGAAGAGATGAAGCAGAAGATATCGGAAGAGTGTCGACAAAACATACTCTCGGGGTGTGAGGAAACGATTGAGTGGACAAAAACGGAGAAAGAGGCCAGAAAGGAGGACTAGGGAGAAATGCGCAAGAAGTTTGAGAGCGCATGCATCTCTAATGTTGTATCTGAAAAACTGAGTTCGTAAAAGCAGAGCTACAAAGGATGAAATGAGGAGAGTCGCAAATGAAATCATCTCATTTTATGTGACCCTGAAAAACACGGCACTGTAAAATTGTAGATGCTCTTGTTTACCCCTGACTGCAACCTCCTGTGTATTCTAAATCGCTTTGTCATCTGACGAAAACGTACATCAGGGTTCATGAAAGCCTCCGTGCACCAGGCTTACTATTTTTTTACCCACTCACATCTAACCCACCTCACTCCCTTACACATTCATTCA